ACTGTAGCATGCATTAAAGCCTAGTTTATTCTTCTGCATGTTCAGAGCGACGCAAGGGACACGCAGACGCAAGAGCCCCTTGCGTGCCTTTTCACACCTTCTTGCGTGCGTCGACCCATTTTTCTAGCGAACGCAAGGCTGCGATTGGTCCGCTAACTACGTCCTTTACGGAGTCTCACATTTCCGGTTTCATAGCCCCAAACCGCCATTATCAAAAACGAAGAATGTTTACGAGAGAACGGATCAGATTGAAGAGCTTTTGTCGGAAGAAATGCGTAAATATGACCGCTTCTACAAGCCGTCATTGGCAGAGTATAAGGACGCGCGGATGGCCTCTGATTCACGGAGGGAGATCGCCGCAAACGCCGGTTTGCCGGTCGATGGGAACAAAGTTGTGGAGGAAAATACGGGAGAAATCTGTCCGCGATGAAAAGCAGCAGTGTCGACGCACGGGGCAATAAAGTCAATGATACATAAATTAAACCAACCAACGACTTCCACACACAAAGACGTGACTCTCTAGGTAGTCTAACAAAAACACGTTACCCCACTTATTGTTCTTGCTCTGCAACAAACGCAAGACTTTTAGAACCATGACTTGAAACGAGTGCGTCGGCACGACGGTACGCAGAAACATGCGCCAGCCTTTAGCCAGTAACGTTAACGTGACTTGTACGTGTAACAGATATCAAGCACTTTGCACGGCTCGAACTATTTCAGCGGATTCCACTACACCGTCTTCCACCAAGTGACGAAAACTAATCCTATATAATCCCACTCGTTTGTTGAGGGCTTTATCACCTCAACTTAACGTTAGCAAACTAGCATTACGTTAGCTAACGTTAACAATCAAGAAGAAAAAATCCGACGAAGAAGTCGGCAATAAACTTACCTTAACGTTTATAACAAAATACTGCAACAGAAACCTCGCGTTTCTTCAAAGCATAGTATGATATATTATATTCTTGAATACAAAAATAACTGAATGAGTTAATTCACGCGTAATGTTGACTACTCAAACAGTAAGCGTCCCGACTTCACTGCCGACATGCCTGTCAGGCGGTGTGCGCCACTATAAATGTTCCGACTGGAAAACGGGATACACATTCAGTTCCATTAGATGTCTCTGTATTGAACATTTAGCTGTATTAACACTACAAATAAAATCTTATCCAAACGATGATGTTGATCTTAAATTATATTTTGATAAATTGTGTAATCTAATTTGATTGATCAAAATTGGAAAAATATATGTCTTTGTACAAATAGTTTATAAATTGTGCTTGGATGGTGTGGCCATAGAAAAGCATTGAGCTAAAGCGTCTCACACTGATAAGATGTCCCCAGTCTCCTAGATGTAGTGTGACAACAAGTTGGTTCACATGTACAAGCAAGTTTCGGTCGATGCCACCTGTAACTAAACTGAGGTATAAGAGCTGCCCTACCCTGTAAAAATATATGTTCTTGGCAGTCTACTAAGCACGTAGCTCTTGTGACCTTTTTTTCCTTACAAGGAAATAAACGGAGACACTAAGACATATTTGATTGAGAGCCTTTATTCTTATTTTCCAATTGTCAGAGATCTTCCATCACAATTTGGTGTCAGAAGTGGGATCGTTTGAAGTTCCATCGGGATTCTAAGGACGTCCGTAATATTAATATTATGCATTGTATTGCCTTTGTATTTAATTAATGCATTTTGAATTTAAACAGTTAATTTATTTTTGCTGCCATCTACAATTATTTGGGTAAAGTTGAATATACTTAGTTACTCTACTACTGAGTAGAAATGACCTAATATCCAGCCACGTTACTTGTGAGGGGATCTCCGTCAAAATGGTTTTCTGTCTATTCTTTAGTTTATATTTAGGTGTATATTCCTGAATTGTGTTATTATTAAATAATGTATTAAATAATGATAACTACTAACTATTAAATATAGTGCACTGCTATAGGCAAAATAAATACATTTTCTATTAAAGTTAAGAGACAAAACCTAATTAACGAATTCCTGAGATAAACAAAACAAGAACACACAATTGCAAGTAAACCATAGATTTTAATAGAGACATATTTCCAGGAGTGTGATACATAAAATGCAGGACAACGATTGCCTCGATATTCCTAACACTCTTGTATTTACAGTGTATATTCAATGGGTAGTGAGTTAATTTATGTTAACAGTGCTGCTTGAAATAATGACCAACAATCATTTAAAATTAAACTCCATCTTTTAAATCTTTCACCTATTAACACAAACAAACCCGTGCCCAGAGCAGAATATGGCTGGAATGTACTGTAAGATCAGAATCCATTAGTATGTCTTTTATTTCTCACACCAATTAAAGTAAAATTAAGAGAAACACCCGTTAAGATTAAAAACACCACATTGTTGAGTCCTCTTCAAAAGCTAAATGACAGACCAGGACAGAAATATGTGCTGTTATCACACGACACTATACGATCAGTATGAGGTTTAGAAAATTTCAGACCGCAACAACTCTTCTGTTTAAAAGGTGGCGCAGCTGAATACACTGATGTGTGTGTCTTAACATACTGAGTCCTGCTGTCTAATAGTTTTTGTAGAGAAATTGTTTATATGAGTATGGTAGTTAATTTTCCACTTTAGTTAAGATTAGTTTTGAAAGTTGTCTCGCAATTAGTCTATCATGTCCCGACAGTCAGCTGCTTGGCAACCACAACTCTCAACTGAAATGTAGGAGTGCTTTATCTTTCGTCCATCATTGCAGGTCATCTCTACCTCCTTCTTACTGGTGATCATTTCCCGACAGCATGAGCATGAATGCATCAAACGCGCTTTCTCCGCAGAGTACCTGTAAATAGAGACAGTTTCAGACAGGATCAGGATCAGCATCAGTCACCTGCTGTTCGATGTGAACAAACATTTAACTTGAAACGTCAAATGAAAACGGAGCAGGTGCTTTTCAGCATGATTGAGTAAGGAGTTTGTGCCGCATATCTCAGATATTTGGTTATAAATCTCACTTTGATGAGGAGTCCCCACAAGGTCCTGCACAGGCGGTCATTTCCACTGGAACGACTGACGTGCATTCGTGTGTCTGCAGATATGTGGTGTTCCTGATAATTTGACAGTTGGTTTTTGGAGTACCTGTGGACCACACACACATAAAACATCTTTTACATGTTGCTACAAAAACAAGCGTGATTTAGTTAAGTGGAAAAATGAAATACAGCCTCTGGGGATTTTTAGGCTCTGTTTTAATGCAAAAATATTATCTGAAATTATCTGCAACATTTTCGCTAAGCGATTTTAAATTTAAATCGTTAGCTTTATTGTTCTTTCAAATTTCCAGAAGAAAATCAAGATATTAATTAATAACGCAAATGCATTCCTACAATTCATTTTTGCCTCCGTTGATGAACTTTCCAATAGAATGAGGACTGATGTTGTGGCATTTGAATACATTTTTTTGACCTATACTTACAAGTTTTGCAGCAACCGTTGATGCTACTTTGTTCAGTTCCCTGTGATATACAGACAATACAGATTGTAAAATATGCAGATAGACAACACAATGACACAGACTCTCTTTTGAGTCATGTGTACAGCATTCCTGGTGCAATATATAACGCAATTTCTTCTTCACTGTATATTTGTGTATTTCAGCTCATCTTTTTTCTCATTGGCCAATTTCATCCCATTTACCAGAAATGCATTATCAGAAATAGTTAAACCAATCCCATATTCTACAGTTTGGATGGAACTGGATGAGACAGCAACAGTTTAGATTCGTTACCAAAGATTAGAGCTGACAGAAATAGCAACCTGAGCTTGTTTCAGGACTGGATTATACTTACAGGAATGCAGTTGTCTGGGTCAAATACAGGACATGCTGTTTGCCTTTTAGAGGTTATGAACTCATTCTTCACCTTCTGGCAATCATACGTTGTACAGTTATCATTTGGTGGGGACCAAGACTGAAAAGGCTGTCAGGGGTGTGGAAGAGGTCAATTAGTGAACATGAACATTGATTGGTGCCAAAATTTCTAAAGATGTTCCCATTATACCGTACTTACTTGAATAATTATAGTAGAGAATCCTGGGACGTGCACAACACAGCTTGTTTGTTCACATACTCCACAACATTGTCCAGGTCGTTTTTCATACACATGGCCCTATTTAAAAAAGAGGCACAAATAAGAATAGGGTACTAGAAATGAAATGTATAGATAATTACGAATAAGTAGTATTTACTATTAATGTTTTTACTAGTTTATATGTTTTATGTATGTTTTAACTATAATTTAACTATGTTTTGCTGGCTGTGTCGCACTCAGATATATTTATGAAGAGGGTGTTAGAAATAAAATACATTATTATTATTACTATACATTAAGATGTCCATCTCTGAGATTCTTGCTGCCACCACAATAGAGCTGAATGCAGAGCTGAATTTTGTTTGTACTGCTCAAAACACTATCAGTTCTTACTATGATATCCCAATTATGTTTTATTTGGAAGTCTGCAGACATTTCAGAGACATATGTCTCAACCTGTGCAAATAAAACCAAAACATTTGCATGACTAGATATAACATAACCAGCCAAAGTGTGCTGTTATGTAAAATATTTTTGTACACCATATACTTTTTTGTACACTGGCTTCCTAGTTGATTAAAACCTGCATTGCTGTAGATAAAACGTACCTCTGGACACAATGGGTCACATGCCATCACATGACACTCAAATGTGTTCAACTGGCTTGTGGGATCCCGAGTTTCAGTACAGCTGCATGATTCACATGGACTTTTGGAGAAATCCATACCTGGCTGTAAACAATAAAACGCAAAGTCTGAGCCGTATTTCATATGATGGCCAGTCAAATTAGGTTAAATTAAATTAGAGTTTTAGTAACACAAACATTCTTAGTATATATTCTTAATAGTTAAGATGTATACAGTATATCATTCCTTACCTTGTACTCAGTCTTATTGAAGACACAGACGCCTTTGGGTACTAGATTTAAATAATGACATTGATAATCACATTAGAGGCTTATGCATTGTTTAGTCTTTCACACACTGGCAATATAAGCAAATGAATCTGAAATGTATGTAAAAATCTTACCGCAGCTGTAAAATGGGCAGCAGGTGTCATTGGACATGTGGATCTTCAACTCGAAGCCCAGTTCGCACTGTTTTTGCAACGAACAGCTGCTCCTATCGCATTCTGATGGTTGAAAGGAAAGTCATGTCAAAGGCTGGAAAACAGACGATTACTTCCTGTTACCGACCTTAAAGTACAAACAGATGCCTTCATTGATCGACCACCATTCTTTAATGATTGATTCAATGACTCATCATTCAAAGCAGCAGACACTGCCACATTTCATCACACCACAGGACCACGTCATATTTGACGTGACATCTTTCATTTTTTTGATGATGGATTTTCTCTTGCTTTAGACAGGCATCATACAGAAGAGGAACAATTTATGCAGGTGTTTTGACAAATTGACTAGTACTCCTCCACACACGAAATCATCCATAAATCCTTCTATTAAATGTTGTCGGAAAGGTAAAGATGTTTTTACTTTGAACAACTCACCACAGGTCAGTCTCTCACAGCAGCCCACCATGCGTTTCACCAACACCTCACCCTCCTCAGTGCATGTTATTGGCTTTTGAGGGGCACATGTGACAGGCTCACACTGAACGCTCAGAGTGTTGTTATCACAGGTACACTGCTTGCAGTCACTCTGCCAAGCCTCACCCAGCTGTCGGAAAGACGGAACAAAGCTTCTCACGTGTCGGCAACAAATACTGTCTGAATAACGATGATCAGTCATGTATGGTAGCATTTACCTGTTTAGGTTGGCCATCCGGTCCAGTGCAACCTTTAACAATACAGAAGAATTATTTTTCCTGAACATTTTTGTCATTCACCAACAATAATATTTATCTTCACAATAATAAAATGATCTTACAGGCGGAGACGCAGAGGTCAGAATTGGAGCTGAACAGGGTCAATCCCTCTGGGCAGAAACATCCCTCTACGATGCCATCACAGCCTTCATTATTTGTGCCAATTCGTTGCTGGCAATATCGTGAATTCTTCTCATTGTATCTGAATATGAAAACATGTTAATGGAGAAAAACAGAAATAAAACTATATTTATATTCAATCATCAATGAATGATGAGTAAAAGGCAGTGAAGCGCAAGTATTATAATTGTTTCCCCTGTGGATCAGTTTGTTATGACTTTGTTAATGCATTCCCTTTTCTTCTACTTCAATCGTCAAATCAAAGTTGGACCTGGTTTTGAAACAATTAACTTTCTAGTAATCTGTCAAGAAAAACTAAGACGGTAATAATGGAAAAGATTATGGCTTAACATCACCATGTTGCATTCTTATGCTTTTGCATTCGGTTCAGCCTAGAGTCTCAGAGCCGCTAGCATGGCTACAGACTCGTACAGTCTTTACAAATTACGAGCTAATGACATTATTTGATTCAGGATATTGACAATAGAATTGAGCAATAACTATACCTTGCATTGCAAGTTGGAACAACCTTTGGCCCACAAGGCTTGTAGACCTTATTTCCTGAACATTTGTGTTCTACGACAAGAGAAAATGGATTTAAACATCACAATTATAGGTAGTGTGGAAATAGTCTGTCTAATCTGAAAATAACCATGTTATCTTTCTATTAAACTGAACCTCTCTTACCACACTTCCCATTTGTAGCATTTCTCCAAGGTACACAGACAGACAATTCAGCACACATCATGGCATACACCTCCATACTGGAACAACCATCGGTGGCATTGTGGCAAACATCAAATTTGCAGCTCTCGTAAAATGCTTTTGGGGCGATAACTTTGTGGCATTCCTCAAACACCCTGTGCAAATCAGGAGAAAGACGGCCGTTAATCAGAGTCAATCAGAATGAATTGACATATGGTTTTCATTTCCCTTCTGTAAGTTCTTACTTGCTCATCAGAATTTCGCAGATAGCAGGTTTGCAGAGTAATTCTGGCGCCGGTGAAGGAGATGGGTTCTCACAATGTGATGTACTGTTTTCCACTACACGCCACCAACCCATCTGAGAACAGGGCTGAATCTGGCCATTTGGTAATCGGCAGTCATTTGTCTTGTTATTGTCACAGGTACCTTGTGAAAGTAAATAGGGACATAACAGATGTTACAAGCAATGTGTTACCACATGTGGTACATGCATTGGCACTTTCATATTCAACCACCGTTTGCTTATTTTCATCTATGAATGAAACAGACTACTATTCTGTTATTCTTATGGTGAATTGGTTATCAGCTTACCACACTGTCCCTCTGTGTTGTTGTGGAAAAGGGAAAACGGCAAATCGATGCTGTACACAAGCCCTTTGAACATCACCACGGCTTCAATTTTCGGAATTCTCAATAGCAGCTCAATTGCTGTACTTGTTATGATGAAGTCATCATTAGAGTAGGTCGGGATTACCTGCTTGCCGTTGATGGACACCTAAGAAATTATCATCATCATTAGCACTGCATATTATTTACATATATTCTAATACGTTTTAATTGATTATGGCGAAATGTACCTTATTTGCAGTTGGGTTTCTCTGCTGTGTAAGAGTTATTTCATAGTTTTTGTAAAATACAATCAAGGACTTAACGCAGGTCACAGTTCCAGCAGGATTACAGTTCTCGTTGACGATATGAATTTTTAAACCGTGTTTGAGAATGATCTCTTTGAAGAGGACGTATGTACAGTTTTTCTGGAAGCTGTAATACTGGCCGTCAAATGTCATATAATGAGGATCTCCCCAGCCACTGCAAATACCTGTAAACATTAGATGAGACGACATTGAGTTTTACATCAAAGTAAAATGTTGACATTGTCGGGCTTTTTGTGGTCTTGAAAGTTGTGGCTTGAATGTGATATTTAAAAAAGTTTTCCCTGAACTTACATCTGCATTCATAGTGGAAACAGCAGCCTTTTTCATCATAAACCCTAACAGGTGGATACCCATTATCACATACGGGCATGGTCACCGGTTCACATGGCACATGTGATGTTATTACTCTTCCTTTATCACATGTTTCTGTGGTGCAGATGCTTGAATTCCAGGACTCACCATCCTGTGAATAGAAAAGTAGCACTTTTAGTAATTCACTACCAGTGAATTGGTATGTTACAGCCCCCCAGGGGCACACATGAAAAAGACATACATCTAGAGTTCCTTTAAGGAAGGAAATGATTTTTCATTGATCAGTGCTAAACAGAAACAGTGTATGCGTAGGTGTTCTCATCAATCAGAATAATGGGTTGACGTTCTGTGATAATTGTCATATTGGATGTATTTGTTGATTTAACCTTCTGTGACATGCATTATGAGGTACACAGCAAAGTTATATTACTTTTATGTAAATTATTTTATTTATGGAGTTATTGAATTTTAATTATGTCTAAATCACTTGTGTCGTTAGTTTGTCTCATTTCGTCTTTTTTGCGTTGATCTTGTGGTTAAAAGTGTCTTCATGTTGTATATTAATGTGATTTGTCATAAGATCCCAAATAAATTAGCTTCAGTTTTGGTTGAGCAAATTGGGGCAAATAATGGATCAATTTAGATTAAACAACCATTTTTCAACCCCTTTTCCAATATTCTATAATGGTATAAGATACTACTCTACTCAAGACTTTCTTCAACACATTCAACAATGAAGCACACATTAATATAATGGACATATTGGAGGCATTTCTAATTACGGAATTATTCTTTGTTGAATTTATCGGCTACTTTAACGTTGTCAATGAGAGAATGTAGAATATGGAAAGTTGCATCTTTTTATCCAAAGGTTGTTGGCTCTCTCAGGAATCAGGAATCAGAATAGATATGCTGTTAATAATGCCAGTTAAGATGATTTGTTCCTTGTTTGACTAAACCCAAATACCTCTCGAGGTGGCTGCAGATACGAACAGGATGTGACTGTAGGTGTAGGTGTAGGTGTATAGGCAGTTGTGGTGCTGATACGAGTTGGTGTCGTGGTCTGATGACATGGTCTAGCATGCTTCTCAACATTGCAACTCAAATTGCAGTATGCAGTGAAACACCAGCCTTCTCCATCAGTCTGATTGTACATGAAGCTTCCTATAAGACAACAAAAACCAAGGCAGTTAAATCCCAAATAACTAATGATATGAGAAAAGCAAGTGGCTGTGCCAGAGTTACAGCTGTCTTTTTGATTCAACATTGGTGAATACTAGTCGAATAACATTAAAGGTTTCTGAATGTGTAAATCCAGATCACAAATAAATTGACTGTACATTATGATGAATTTCTCTAATTTAAATATTTTGGCAATACACGTCAGTGGGAATGCTGTCGGGTCTAAACTTTCCATTAACTAATCCCTCCAATGTGCAGGAGCAGAAACGAACCAGAAGGAGCCACTGGCCCAGGTAAAAGGTGAAAAATGTCTGAGATGAAGCAAATGTTTGAAATGCATGCACTGTGGACATTTAGATTCATCTTAGCAAATTGAGTTTGGAAAAACATCCAAAAGGAACCTAGGCCAACTCAGGTTATGGATTATGAATATAGATGTAAAGGGGATTTTAGTTTAGAGCATGAAACACTTGAAGTTTAGGCTGTAGTTTGGATCAGGTGTAACCATGACTAAAAAAGAATGTTACAAAATATATGTTGAATATATAATACAAAATATTAATTAATATTAATTAAAAAAACTGTTGCAATAACCAATTGCTTACCTGGAGAAAATGTTTTATTTATGTACTTGCAGAAACATAAAGTTGTTCCTTCTGTTGTTGAAGAATGAGGAGTTGGTGTGGTGATTTCTTGTTGATGTTGTGTTGGTGGTTGTTTTGTAGACACAGTATGTATTACAACTTCAGGGGTTGCAGCCGTAGTATTTTCTGTGATCATCGTCGTTGTCTCTTTGATTTGGAATGTTGTTGCACCAGTAGTTGGACCCTTTTCTGTGGTTGTAGAAGTTGTGGTGGGCTTTTCTGTGGTGGTGGTGGGATTTCTTCGGTTGTGGTGGGGATTTCTGTGGTGGTGGTTGGTTTTTCTGTGGTGGTGGTGGTGGGAATTTCTGTGGTTGTTGTGGGCTTTTCTGTGGTGGTGGTGGGGATTTCTGGGGTTGTGGTGGGGATTTCTTCGGTTGTGGTGGGATTTTCTGTGGTTGCAGCAGTTGTGGTGGGCCTTTCTGTGGTGGTGGTGGGGACTTCTGTGGTGGTGGTGGTGGGCTTTTCTGTGGTGGTGGTGGGCTTTTCTGTGGTTGTGGTGGGGATTTCTGTGGTTGTAGTAGATATTGTCGTTGTAAAGGATGGAGTTGTGGTTGTTTCACACATATTGATGCAACATCTCAATCGTATTTCATAGTCATTGCATCTATGAGGTATGGGTTGTTTTTTGCCGAGACAGATTAGTCCATCGCTCGGGCTGCATGTTACATTATTATCCAGGTCTTTCAAAGGCGTATCCGGGTATTGCGTCGCTCTGCATTCTATTTCCAGAGGTTTACTACAAACGCTCAGATCTGGATCAGTAATCTTTTCAATGGATTCGCGATCATCACCGTCTTCACCAGGGTAGTGATTGTTTTTCCAATCCGTCCATTTACAAACATGGCAGTCAACGGGTGTTGTGGTGGGCTTTTCTGTGGTTGTGGTGGGATTTTCTGTCGTTGTGGTGGGCTTTTCTGTGGTGGTGGTGGGGATTTCTGTGGTGGTGGTGGGATTTTCTGTGGTTGCAGCAGTTGTGGTGGGCCTTTCTGTGGTGGTGGTGGGGACTTCTGTGGTGGTGGTGGTGGGCTTTTCTGTGGTGGTGGTGGGCTTTTCTGTGGTTGTGGTGGGGATTTCTGTGGTTGTGGTGGGGATTTCTGTGGTTGTAGTAGATATTGTCGTTGTAAAGGATGGAGTTGTGGTTGTTTCACACATATTGATGCAACATCTCAATCGTATTTCATAGTCATTGCATCTATGAGGTATGGGTTGTTTTTTGCCGAGACAGATTAGTCCATCGCTCGGGCTGCATGTTACATTATTATCCAGGTCTTTCAAAGGCGTATCCGGGTATTGCGTCGCTCTGCATTCTATTTCCAGAGGTTTACTACAAACCCTCAGATCTGGATCAGTAATCTTTTCAATGGATTCGCGATCATCACCGTCTTCACCAGGGTAGTGATTGTTTTTCCAATCCGTCCATTTACAAACATGGCAGTCAACGGGTGTTGTGGTGGGCTTTTCTGTGGTGGTGGTGGCCTTTTCTGTAGTGGTGGTGGGCTTTTCTGTTGTTGTGGTGGGATTTTCTGTCGTTGTGGTGGGCTTTTCTGTGGTGGTGGTGGGGATTTCTGTGGTTGCAGAAGTTGTGGTGGGGTTTTCTGTAGTGGTGGTGGGGATTTCTTCGGTTGTGGTGGGCTTTTCTGTTGTTGCAGCAGTTGTGGTGGGCCTTTCTGTAGTGGTGGTGGGCTTTTCTGTGGTTGTGGTGGGCTTTTCTGGGGTGGTGGTGGGATTTTCTGTGGTTGTGGTGGGCTTTTCGGTGGTGGTGGTGGTTGGGATTTCCGTGGTTGCAGAAGTTGTGGTGGGTTTTTCTGTGGTGGTGGTGGTGGTGGGCCTTTCTGTGGTGGTGGTGGGCTTTTCTGTGGTTGTGGTGGGGATTTCTGTGGTTGTAGTAGATATTGTCGTTGTAAAGGATGGAGTTGTGGTTGTTTCACACATATTGATGCAACATCTCAATCGTATTTCATAGTCATTGCATCTATGAGGTATGGGTTGTTTTTTGCCGAGACAGATTAGTCCATCGCTCGGGCTGCATGTTACATTATTATCCAGGTCTTTCAAAGGCGTATCCGGGTATTGCGTCGCTCTGCATTCTATTTCCAGAGGTTTACTACAAACGCTCAGATCTGGATCAGTAATCTTTTCAATGGATTCGCGATCATCACCGTCTTCACCAGGGTAGTGATTGTTTTTCCAATCCGTCCATTTACAAACATGGCAGTCAACGGGTGTTGTGGTGGGCTTTTCTGTGGTTGTGGTGGGATTTTCTGTCGTTGTGGTGGGCTTTTCTGTGGTGGTGGTGGGGATTTCTGTGGTGGTGGTGGGATTTTCTGTGGTTGCAGCAGTTGTGGTGGCCTTTTCTGTGGTGGTGGTGGCCTTTTCTGTAGTGGTGGTGGGCTTTTCTGTTGTTGTGGTGGGATTTTCTGTCGTTGTGGTGGGCTTTTCTGTGGTGGTGGTGGTGGGGATTTCTGTGGTTGCAGAAGTTGTGGTGGCCTTTTCTGTGGTGGTGGTGGCCTTTTCTGTAGTGGTGGTGGGGTTTTCTGTGGTTGTTGTGGGGATTTCTGTGGTTGTGGTGGGCTTTTCTGTGGTGGTGGTGGTAGGCCTTTCTGTGGTTGCAGAAGTTGTGGTGGGGTTTTCTGTGGTTGTTGTGGGGATTTCTGTGGTTGTGGTGGGTTTTTCTGTGGTGGTGGTGGTGGGCTTTTCTGTGGTGGTGGTGGGCTTTTCTGTGGTTGTGGTGGGCTTTTCTGTGGTGGTGGTGGGATTTTCTGTGGTTGTGGTGGGCTTTTCTGTGGTGGTGGTGGTTGGGATTTCTGTGGTTGCAGAAGTTGTGGTGGGTTTTTCTGTGGTGGTGGTGGTGGGCCTTTCTGTGGTGGTGGTGGGCTTTTCTGTGGTGGTGGTGGGCTTTTCTGTGGTTGTGGTGGGGATTTCTGTGGTTGTAGTAGATATTGTCGTTGTAAAGGATGGAGTTGTGGTTGTTTCACACAAATTGATGCAACATCTCAATCGTATTTCATAGTCATTGCATCTATGAGGTATGGGTTGTTTTTTGCCGAGACAGATTAGTCCATCGCTCGGGCTGCATGTTACATTATTATCCAGGTCTTTCAAAGGCGTATCCGGGTATTGCGTCGCTCTGCATTCTATTTCCAGAGGTTTACTACAAACGCTCAGATCTGGATCAGTAATCTTTTCAATGGATTCGCGATCATCACCGTCTTCACCAGGGTAGCTATTGTTTTTCCAACCCGTCCATTTACAAACATGGCAGTCAACGGGTGTTGTGGTGGGGATTTCTGTGGTGGTGGTGGTGGGGATTTCTGTGGTTGCAGAAGTTGTGGTGGGGTTTTCTGTAGTGGTGGTGGGGATTTCTTCGGTTGTGGTGGGCTTTTCTGTTGTTGCAGCAGTTGTGGTGGGCCTTTCTGTAGTGGTGGTGGGCTTTTCTGTGGTTGTGGTGGGCTTTTCTGTGGTGGTGGTGGGATTTTCTGTGGTTGTGGTGGGCTTTTCTGTGGTGGTGGTGGGATTTTCTGTGGTTGTGGTGGGCCTTTCTGTGGTGGTGGTGGTGGGGATTTCTATGGTGGTGGTGGGCTTTTCTGTGGTTGTGGTGCGCCTTTCTGGGGTTGTGGTGGGGATTTCTTCGGTTGTGGTGGGATTTTCTGTGGTTGCAGCAGTTGTGGTGGGGTTTTCTGTGGTTGTTGTGGGCTTTTCTGTGGTGGTGGTGGGAATTTCTGTGGTTGCAGCAGTTGTGGTGGGCTTTTCTGTGGTGGTGGTGGGCTTTTCTGTGGTGGTGGTGGGCCTTTCTGGGGTTGTGGTGGGGATTTCTTCGGTTGTGGTGGGATTTTCTGTGGTTGTTGTGGGGATTGTCGTTGTAAAGGATGGAGTTGTGGTTGTTTCACACATATTGATGCAACATCTCAATCGTATTTCATAGTCATTGCATCTATGAGGTATGGGTTGTTTTTTGCCGAGACAGATTAGTCCATCGCTCGGGCTGCATGTTACATTATTATCCAGGTCTTTCAAAGGCGTATCCGGGTATTGCGTCGCTCTGCATTCTATTTCCAGAGGTTTACTACAAACGCTCAGATCTGGATCAGTAATCTTTTCAATGGATTCGCGATCATCACCGTCTTCACCAGGGTAGTGATTGTTTTTCCAATCCGTCCATTTACAAACATGGCAGTCAACGGGTGTTGTGGTGGGCTTTTCTGTGGTGGTGGTGGCCTTTTCTGTAGTGGTGGTGGGCTTTTCTGTTGTTGTGGTGGGATTTTCTGTCGTTGTGGTGGGCTTTTCTGTGGTGGTGGTGGGGATTTCTGTGGTTGTGGTGGGTTTTTCTGTGGTGGTGGTGGTGGGCTTTTCTGTGGTGGTGGTGGGGATTTCTGTGGTTGCAGAAGTTGTGGTGGGGTTTTCTGTAGTGGTGGTGGGGATTTCTTCGGTTGTGGTGGGCTTTTCTGTTGTTGCAGCAGTTGTGGTGGGCCTTTCTGTAGTGGTGGTGGGCTTTTCTGTGGTTGTGGTGGGCTTTTCTGTGGTGGTGGTGGGATTTTCTGTGGTTGTGGTGGGCTTTTCGGTGGTGGTGGTGGTTGGGATTTCTGTGGTTGCAGAAGTTGTGGTGGGTTTTTCTGTGGTGGTGGTGGTGGTGGGCCTTTCTGTGGTGGTGGTGGGCTTTTCTGTGGTTGTGGTGGGGATTTCTGTGGTTGTAGTAGATATTGTCGTTGTAAAGGATGGAGTTGTGGTTGTTTCACACATATTGATGCAACATCTCAATCGTATTTCATAGTCATTGCATCTATGAGGTATGGGTTGTTTTTTGCCGAGACAGATTAGTCCATCGCTCGGGCTGCATGTTACATTATTATCCAGGTCTTTCAAAGGCGTATCCGGGTATTGCGTCGCTCTGCATTCTATTTCCAGAGGTTTACTACAAACGCTCAGATCTGGATCAGTAATCTTTTCAATGGATTCGCGATCATCACCGTCTTCACCAGGGTAGTGATTGTTTTTCCAATCCGTCCATTTACAAACATGGCAGTCAACGGGTGTTGTGGTGGGCTTTTCTGTGGTTGTGGTGGGATTTTCTGTCGTTGTGGTGGGCTTTTCTGTGGTGGTGGTGGGGATTTCTGTGGTGGTGGTGGGATTTTCTGTGGTTGCAGCAGTTGTGGTGGCCTTTTCTGTGGTGGTGGTGGCCTTTTCTGTGGTGGTGGTGGCCTTTTCTGTAGTGGTGGTGGGCTTTTCTGTTGTTGTGGTGGGATTTTCTGTCGTTGTGGTGGGCTTTTCTGTGGTGGTGGTGGTGGGGATTTCTGTGGTTGCAGAAGTTGTGGTGGGGTTTTCTGTGGTTGTTGTGGGGATTTCTGTGGTGGTGGTGGTGGGCTTTTCTGTGGTGGTGGTGGGCTTTTCTGTGGTTGTGGTGGGGATTTCTTCGGTTGTGGTGGGCTTTTCTGTTGTTGCAGCAGTTGTGGTGGGCCTTTCTGTAGTGGTGGTGGGCTTTTCTGTGGTTGTGGTGGGCTTTTCTGTGGTGGTGGTGGGATTTTCTGTGGTTGTGGTGGGCTTTTCTGTGGTGGTGGTGGTTGGGATTTCTGTGGTTGCAGAAGTTGTGGTGGGTTTTTTCTGTGGTGGTGGTGGTGGTGGGCCTTTCTGTGGTGGTGGTGGGCTTTTCTGTGGTTGTAGTAGATATTGTCGTTGTAAAGGATGGAGTTGTGGTTGTTTCACACATATTGATGCAACATCTCAATCGTATTTCATAGTCATTGCATCTATGAGGTATGGGTTGTTTTTTGCCGAGACAGATTAGTCCATCGCTCGGGCTGCATGTTACATTATTATCCAGGTCTTTCAAAGGCGTATCCGGGTATTGCGTCGCTCTGCATTCTATTTCCAGAGGTTTACTACAAACGCTCAGATCTGGATCAGTAATCTTTTCAATGGATTCGCGATCATCACCGTCTTCACCAGGGTAGTGATTGTTTTTCCAATCCGTCCATTTACAAACATGGCAGTCAACGGGTGTTGTGGTGGGCTTTTCTGTGGTGGTCTTTTCTGTGGTTGTGGTGGGGATTTCTTTGGTTGTTATTGAGGTTGTAGAGAAGAAGGAGAAATTTCAGTTGTTACTGTTAAAGGTCTCTTAGTGATTATAAAAAAAGATTCAACAGTCTCTCTCACTGCTTATTTTGTAAATGTTACACACTTATGCATTTTTACAGTATCTTTTTCTTACCAAAAATAAAGCTTGTTGTTGTTGGGGGGGGTGTAGTTGTATGTGGTATAGGGCAAGTCTCTATTTTTCTTATAATCTCTCCTTTATCACAAATAGCAGTTATACATGATCCATTGCCATCATGTGTTGCATAGATTATATCTGTGTGGTTGAACAGTGTTCCGTTGTATAAACAATGGCAAGCTGCAAAATAAAAAACAGTATTTATTGTTTTTTTCTCAGATTCAGTCGACATTCTGTTAGTGAAGATCACATTCACATCCCAGAAATAGTTATACTCACCTTGGATGTCATAGGTACAATTTTTCTCTGTTCCAGAACAATGACTGAAAGGTAGAAGAGTGAGAGGAATGTAAACACAAATAAATAGATAGAGTAAAGAGTAAATAGCGTAAATAGTTGAATTATTATATTCCATAATTCCATAGTTCCTGACAGGATAATGATTGGTCCATGCACTTGTCAAACACAAAGCAATTGCTTGAAAACTTGAAAACAGGTTGTCTTTCCATGTGATAAGTTATCAGTGCTGATTTAGTTTTTACTTTACTTTACATCCTTCAACCAGATGAAAGAATAGGAACTACTAGTGGCGGCAAGTTTAAGTTTACAAGCGATGATTAAAAACTTTTAATTTGGATTATTGCCCGGGTGATGCTTATGTTTCATAGGAAGGTGAAGCAAGTCATTCTTTTGCATATTGTTAGCAATATTTTTCCATGTAAAATAGACCTGACTGATTCCTGAATTAAAAATTAAAATCCACTTTTCCATTAGCTATTCACCCACATCCATATTAGGTTATATGGAAAGTGACCTACCAGTTGTAACAGTTTTCTGGCCTAATTGGAGGCATGATTTCCCCTTCTTTATAATGATTCCCTTCATCGTCATAGCAACCACATTTCTCCTGTGACACACACTGCATTGTATCTTCTTCCAAATAGGGCCTTTCAGGTGGGCACTTTGGATAGCAGCCTACAAAAGTTAAATGTTATTGTAAAAGTCAAAACACTTACCCAAAAGGTAAAGACAGGAAGTCTAAATCAAGCAAGAATCTCTGTGTGGTACAAAATAAATCTCTAACAGTGTTTGTGCTTAACCAATGGGATTAGCTATAAAACACAGAGCATGGTTAACTCTTAGAAATGTGTGCAATATTACATCCATGTCATTTTTACCCTCTAGAGCTGGAATATTGTTGTAGCATGCTGCCGAGGGATTCTTGCATGTCTTCATACATGGTTTTCCACAAGGCTGGTAGTGCCATTCACACTCTCCATCAGGGTTGTAAAAATCACAGAACAGAGCTGAACAGAGTTTAAAAAGCATATAGTATAAGATCAGAAAATCCTTAATCATACGTATATCGCATCTGCATAATAGAATGCAAGCCAGGCTTTATTTGTAAATTCAATATCTTAAATGAACGATGGTGCTAACAACACATTGCTTGTTTGGTTAATCTCCGTATGGAAACACAGATAAAACACTCACGGCAGATCGTGGGAGTTCTCCATTTTATGCAGGCTCCGGCCTCATTACAGGCTGCGGCGTACGCTGCTACAGCCGAGCAGAAACATTCACAATCTCCTCCGGTGTTGCAGGAACAAGTGTCACTCACACAAGCATCATAATAGTTGTCTGGAGGCACCTTTTTAAAAGAAACCATTGTAAATGTAAATATGGGTTATACTATGAATGATATTTATACAGAATGTAACCGTTCTTTGGCAGATTTCTTACCTTAGAATGGCAACCAGTAAATTCTGTTTCCTTGATGATGCTGCAGTGTTTTAATGCCCATGCTTGCCTGTGTGAGTACAGAGTGCAAGGGCTTGTGTGTTTGCCAGCATTAGGGCAGGTAGGTGACACTTTCCAGCTGTTTCCGAAGTCAAAGGCTTCAACAACAACCTCTTTGTTTCTGGTGGTAAAATCGTTCTTGATATTCCCATCGTAATTCCCACAAAGACCACATATTTTTCCCTGGGATGAAAAAAGATCTAATTAATTTGTAAAATGGCAACCTTGTTAACATGTGTCTGAATGCCTGTGCATCTCCTCACCCACCTTGAATGTGGGCCTGAGCTTGATTCTAAGTGTGGTCTTCTTATTCCAAATGAGAACAAGACCATTCTTTGCCTCAATGACAAGGTATATGCCCATACTGTGGACTTTAAAGGGTATGTCCACGCCTTGGTTTTGTTTGATAACTCTGACCTTTTCCTCTGAAAGAATAATTTCCTTATTCTGAAAAAAAAAATAGGTTCATTTGTAAGTCTGCAATATCCTTTACAGCATTAAAGATTCATTTTAAATGCATATAATCGTGTTATGTACCCCTAGGTAAAGTTTGATAGCCGTAGAACAGATGCTCTCAGTTGTTCCGCATGGGATGCTCTCAGTCAGGATCCGAAAGGTACCCTTCATATCGTCCTCACAATAATCCTGCAAGATATTGGTGTCAGTATTACAACACTGATTTTTGACAAATTCTATATAAAGCCTATAAAGGTCTGTGCAATACCTGGGTGAAGACATAGCCGCAATCCCCATTAAAGGAGAATTTCTTTTCATCAAAGGTGATGTAATGCCCTTCTCCATATATGATGCAGGTTCCATCACAATCACGATCTGTGCATTCCCATTTACTGCTTTTGCAGGTGCTATGGTTTAAACAGATTAAGTAGTCAGTTATCCACAGAAAACACACACACACACACACACACACACGCGCGCGCACACACACACGCGCGCGCGCACACACACACACACACACACACACACACACACACACACACACACACACACACACACACACACACACACACACATCAGTATGGAAGAATGAAGGGCTCACCAAGTATTGCAGTCCACAAGGACAGTCTTTCCAGACTCATATAAATCGCCATTATATGTGCAGGGACAGTCCTCCTCCTTAATACAGCCTCCTTTACCATCAGACAGCAGGCCAGCAGGACACATGCAGCCGGACATACACTGAGTACTGACCTATTCAGTATAACAGCAAATGAGATAACATGCTGCTTTAATATACACCTGCAGAATATTCAAGAACAGTTATGAACCAGTAGCTCAAGCTTACACATTCGGTGTCCAATGTTTGGCAGCTTTTTTGGCACTCGGACCCCTTTTCACCCGGCTTCACGCTTGAGCAGTTGAAGAAAGTCATTGGCTCGGTGCATGCTGGTGACAATAACAGTGTGTTACAACGGACACCACTGGATGCTTGATGTTGGTCATACTGTTGGACCTGATTTTGTACTTACATTCAGTTATTTCAGTTCCTGTACATTTTAGTTGTCCACTATGGCATAAGCTGAAAAACATAGAGAGACATCCAATGTCAATTCTTACTCGTGTTTGGTCAATTTCTTGGACAGTAAAAACAACAGATGGTGGACAGTGTTTCCCTCCCTCCTGGTCTGGCCTTTAGATCTGCAATTGTCTTTGAGTTATTGACGACACAGATAAGATTACTTGACGGTTTGCAGGAAGTTGGGGACTTTTTTAACACATATAAGTGTGCGTTGTACATCTGACTATTCACTGGTCGATCACATCGAACAGATTCAAATTCATGTTTAGTATTTCCAACCACTGAATACGTTTTGGATCTGGGAATTGTACTGAGAGGTCAAACGCAGAACCTTTTTCTGTCCACTAAACCAATGTGCCAAACTTTTAAAATGATAATGCAAATTGCAAACAAAACAAACTTGAAAAGTGCAATTGGAGCGTAAAACCAAATAATGTGAGAACCAGTTTAAGAGGCGCAATTATTACTTCTAAACCGACAACAGTAAACCCAATTGGAACATATTCAGACAAAACAATTTTACAGTGTCACGTGTAAATATGCATAGTAATAAGTAAAGTGCAATAAAGCATTTTTTTCACAGAAAAAAAT